CCCACGCATGCACTGTGTCTTCACTCTGGTCGGGGATCCTGGGGCTGGGTGTTCAGCAGTCCTGGGCTCTCTCCCCCTCCCTGCTGACTCCTCTCCACCTGCCAGGTGCCAGGGGTAGGGGTGCTCGGGTCCCGCCGGGTTGGGGTTTGTATCTTACCCCCTTCGCCAGGCGCTGGGTTCTAGCAGGTGTGGATATGGTCTGGATATTGTCCTGTGTCCTCTGATCTCTATTTTAGTAAGAGTTGTCTTTGTTATATTTTCATAGATTTATGTGGTTTTGGGAGGAGATTTCCGCTGCTCTACTCACACCGCCATCCTGGCTCCGCCCCTCATTGTGGTTCTAATTTGCATTTCTCTGATGACGAGTGATGTGGTGCATCTTTTCATGTGTCTGTTGGCCATCTGAATTTCTTCTTTGGAGAAGTGTCTGTTCAGCTCCTCTGCCCATTTCTTAATTGGCTTGTTTGCTTTTTGTTTGTTGAGGTGCGTGAGCTCTTTATATAATTTGGATGTCAACCCCTTACCAGATATGGCATTTATTAATATATTCTCCCCTACTGTAGGACATCTTTTTGTTCTACTGATGGTGTCCTTTGCTGTACAGAAGCTTTTTAGTTTGATATAGTCCCACTTGTTCATTTTTGCTTTTTGTTTCCCTTGCCCAGGGAGATATGTTCATGAAGAAGTGTCTCATGTTTATGTCCAAGAGATTTTTGCCTGTTTTTTTCTAAGAGTTTTATGGTTTCATGACTTACATTCAGGTCTTTGATCCATTTTGAGTTTACTTTTGTGTATGGGGTTGGACAATAATCCAGTTTCATTCTCTTACCATGAAACCAACTGTTGAAGAGGTTGTCATTTCTCCATTGTGTATCCATGGCTTCTTTATCGTATATTAATTGACCATATATGCTTGGGTTTATATCTGGGCTCTCTGTTCTGTTCCTCTGGTCTGTGGGCCTGTTCTTGTGCTAGTACCAAATTGTCTTGATTACTGTGGCTTTGTAGTAGAGCTTGATTGAAGTCAGGGAACATAATTCCCCTGGTTTATTCTTCATTCCCAGGATTGCTTTTGGCTGTTTGGGGTCTTTTGTCATTCCATATGAATTTCAGAACTATTTGCTATAGGTATTTTGATAGGGATTGCATTGAATGTGTTTATTGCTTTAGGCAGGATGGACATTTTGACAATATTAATTCCTCCTAGCTGTGAGCATGGGATGATTTTCCGTTTATTAGTGTCCTCTTTAATTTATCTTAAAAGTGTCTTGTAGTTTTCAGAGTATAGTTCTTTTCACTTCCTTGGTTAGGTTTATTCCTAGGTACTTTATTCTTTTTGATGCAATTGTGAATGGAATTGTTTTCCTGGTACTGTTTTTTTAATGCACTCTGCCAGCCTGTCTTCTGGTTAGTATAGTTAAGTCATTTATGTTTCATTACTGATGTTTTAGGACTTAAGTGTAGCGTTTTATTCTTCATGTTGTGTTTGTCTTTTTCATTTCTCTAGTTTTCCTGACTTCCTGTGGGTTTTTAAGCCTGTATTTTAAAATTCATCTTTATACAAAGTATTTTTTATTGTATCCCTGTGGTTTTTAGCCTTTTTAGTGGTTGTCTAGGTACAACATTATATATACATAACTTATTACAAGCTCCCGGTGCCATAGTTTTACCAGCTCAAGTGAAATGCAGAGAAACATACTGCCATGCATCTTTCCTCCCTCTCTATTTTAAATATAATTGCCTTAACTATTTCCTCCACATATATTTAGAGCCACATCAGACAGTGTTACAAATTTTGTTTCAACCATTCAAGTATAATTTGGAAGACCCATGTGGAGAATGAAATGTTTTATTCACCCATATTTTGCTTTCCATGTTCTTCCTTCCCTGTGTCTGGTATCTTCTGCTGTCCTTTCCCTTCTGTTTAGAGAACCCCTTCCGCTGTTCATGTAGAGTGACCGATTCTTAGTTCCCTTCCTCAGAGAAGTTGTGATTTTCCCTTGCTCCCTAAAGGATATTATTACTGGACATAGGATTCTGGGGACACAGTCCTTTTCTTACTGCTCTTGAAGAGTGTTGTGCCACTTGCCCCTGGCTTCCGTGGTTTCTGTGAGCATCGCACTATCATTTGAGTGGCTTTCCCCTCAGAGTACGGCATCATTTTACTCTGGATGCTTTCACAATTTTTTCTTTGTAATTTTCAGAAGTTTAATAGCAGTGTGTTCTGGCATGGATTTCCTTGGGTTTATCCTGTGAGCTCACTCACCTTCTCAAATCTGTGGGTCTAAGTCTTTTGCCAAATTTGGGAAGTGTTTGGCCATTTTTTCCAGTGCCCTTTCTCAGCCATGCTTTCTCTCCTGGGATTCATCTACACAAATATGAAATCTGTATTATGGCATACACATTCCCAAGGCTTTCTTCACTTTGTTTCCATTCTCTTTTCTCTTTCTTCTGCAGATTTGTTCATTTCTGTTGTTCTGCCTTCATGTTCACTGGTCTTTGAGTTTTGCTGTTGAGTGTACTTACAGAGTTTTAATTTGATAATTATACTTTGCAGTTTCAAAATTTCCCGTATGGTCCTTCTTTATTTCTTCAGGTTTTTTTTGTGTGTGTTATTTTATTTTTTCATTTTTTTCCCCTCATATTGACAACTTTGTTAAGGTTCAAATCCTCTTAGTTTATATCCTCATTTTTTTGTAGAGACTTTCTCTTTCTTTGCTGAGACTTAATTGTTTGTTTGCTTTTCGTTTGTCTCCTATTCTAACTGCTCACTGAATCATGTGGTGCTGGCTGCTTGAGAATCTCAGACAGCTGTAACATCTGTGTCATTTTGGTGTGTGTCTATTATCTTTTCTCACTCAGTCTGAGATATTCCTGGTTCTTGTTATGAGTGATTTGTTCTTTAATTGAAACCAGGACATTTGGGGTATTATGAGACTTGGGAGCTTATTTAAGTCTCAGTTACGGCAGATCTGAACACTGCTCTACTGGTGGAGTACTCTGGCTAGTTGCCTCCCAGAGGGGATGAAAGTTTGGGCTCCCTCTTGGCCCTTCTCTGAAACCTTGGAGATGGGTCAAAGGTCACAGTGCCTGCAGCTGCAGCATTACAAGGGTGTAGATAGGGCTGAAGTGTGTTCTGTGCCTTTGGGTAAAATAGAGCAGTTATTGCCTGAAAGCATTCTGTCCTGTTAGGCTACCTCTGACCTCCCCGTTCAGAGAAAGCAGCTATTTTGGGGGGCCTTTTTGTCTGCACTTGTCAGAGTTCCTGGGTGGCTGACTTTGCTCCAAGTCTGAAAAACGGGAACCCAGAGACTTTCCCAGTGGTCAGCCTTGTCCACCTTGCAGAGCTATCTCGTAGTCTCATACCTGACCCCAGAGCAGAGCTGCAGTTAGAGGGGAGCAGGTCAGAACATGGCTCTCCACGTTCCAGAATCAGATGTCCCAAGACTTAATTTCCAGACTGGCTCACAAGCTCAGAAAAAGGGCCAGCGGTTTTGAGGTTGAGCCGAGATTTACTAGTTCAGGGTGACAGGAGTGAGGGACCGCACATACATGACACCAGGGGCTCTTTGTGCTGAAGGCTCCCCTCTGGTGCACACACCATGTGGGTAGCTCCCCACAGAGCATTCCCTGCGAGCACACTGGACAGTCTAGCCTCCTGGCTTGAGTATTTCATCCTCCACAAACCACAGCTGGGCTGTGGCCGGCCAGAGCCACGGGCTTCACCAGGCCCCTGTGTGGCCTGCCCTCTTGATAGAGTAGCTGCAGGACACTATACATAGACTTAACCTAGCTGCCGCCACCACCCCCGCCAGGTAAAAAGGCCAAGTTGCTTTTGTTTTTATGAAAACAAAAGGATCTGGAAAATGTAGTGTTGGCTTTTAAATTTCATAAATGTATCCTGAAGCATTAGATAGGTACAGGCTGTGGTTGCCACACCAGCTTGAATAGGAGCCCTGCGGTAGATTCCTGGCCCGCCTGTGACCATCTGAGTCCACTCTGGGGTTGGAGCCTGGAAATGTACATTTTCCACAGTTCCACAGTTCAGAAAACAACTGTGTTTACTGAGTCCTGTGCCAGCCCATAGGTCTTATGTACACCTAACTAGGCCTCAAACAGGATGTCTACTGTACTGCGGTTGGCCTTGGAGACCGGGGTGCTGACTTGGGGTTCAGCTTTCATCCTGGTGCCAGGCCACTGATGTGAAGGGACTCTCCCTGCACCTGTCTGGTTCCAGCCACTCTTGTCTCAGGGCAGATGGGAGCTCAGCCTGCAGTGTTGGCCTGGTGGCTGTTCCCCAAATCTCTTCCCCACTGAGGACAATTGGGAGGATGCTGAATTGAGCCCTGCAGCAGCTTACACATGTGAGATGTGCTGTTGGAAGAGGAGCACCTTGCAGAGAGCTGGGGCTCCAGGAAGCATGAGCAGGGAGCCTGTCAGTGGCTAGTTGGTTAGATAACCACCAGTCAGTAAATGTGTGCCAATATTGGACCAAGCCGAGCAAAGTCAGACATGCAGCTAACAGGGACTGTCTGGAGTATGCAGCTTGGAGTTCTCCTGGGAGAGGGCTCCGTCCTTCACCAGAGGACACTGGGTTCCTTGCTGCCAACCGCCCTCCCTGTCCACGGAGCAGAGTGCAGCCCCTCACACCTCAGTCTCCCTACTTCTGCCACTCGCCACGTGAGACATGAGTGACCCCTTCTGTGCCAATTCCTCATTTTCTACTTGGTTCCCCCTTAACTTTCTTATCTGCTTTTTGACTCACTGATCAGTGCTTTCTCATACCAAAATCAGTTGTGTCTTTGGGACCTTGAAATACATTTTTCTCTAAATTTCGAGTATTGGTCCACTGGATATTGACAATACAAATTTGATTCTCATTTACCTGTGATGCCCAATAATATTCTCAGCTTCTGTTTGTTGCTAAAGTTTGTGTTTTTGGCTGTAATTATGCTGTATTTTCATACATATCAGAGGTTTTCATGGTTGTTCTCTTACCCTTTCTCTCCCTGGGGAGCCCCCTCCACTTTCCATAAACTGGGCTGTGTGGCTGTGCCCGTCTCTCCCACCCTCAGGGTTCTACGGTCTGGATGAGTCTGACCTAGACAAAGTCTTCCACCTGCCCACTACCACATTCATCGGGGGCCAGGAGTCCGCATTGCCGCTGCGGGAGATAATCCGGCGGCTGGAGGTAAGGAACAAAGCCAGAAAAATCTGTGGAGTTTTGTAAAAATCAATGTTGGGAAAAAAAACCCTCCAGAATAGACATTTTTCTTCTTGGTCCTTTTTTTTTTTTTTTAATGTAAGGGAAATGGAACTTTGTTGCTATTTTGTAGATAAAAATCCATGTTGTTTATTTTTACAATCAACTACAGAAAGGAGAAAAAATCTCTCTGCATCCTAGTCCAGTGCAAATTATTTCAGACATGTGAGACCCCTGTGTATTGTGCACCTGGCAAGTGGGGCAGCCTTGGCTGCCAGCTTAGGAGAGGCCCCAGGGAGGGGTGAGCACAGAGCTGTGGGGGCAGGGAGACGAGGAAAGGTCAGCTAGGGGGTTGGCCTTTGGATCTGTACCTTTTTCCTGGTTTGCACCAGCCTCACCACCTTGACCATAAAATCTGCACCTGCTCTGTCCAAATGGGGCTAGTAGGACATGTGACTGTTGAGCCCTCTAAGCATGTGAAACGTCTGAATAACTCTAAGGGTTGAAGAGATAATGTGTTGATGTGTTAGATTAGATAGAATGTGAGAATTGGCTCGTCTCTCCTAAAAACAGTGCCGTGACTTGTGTGGCCGTGTTTCTGTTGCTCTCAGTTCTTCTGTAGTCCAGATCCCAGAAAGGACTCCAGTCCTTCCAGGATGGCCTCCCCAAAGCCACTCCACTTTCTTTTGTCAGACCTGCCGCCCAGCTGGGCTCCAAGTGTCCCTCGGTGGCTTCTGGATTTTGCTCCACGCCACATAGGTGCTCTTGTGTGGGGAGCACAGCCCCGTAACCGGCCCTCCCTGCCAACTGGAGAGCCTCCTGGGGGTGCCGTGCCCCAGCGAGCCACCACTGTGCCTGTCCCTCTCGGGCCCACCTCCCAGCACCTTTCCTTCCTGGGGAGCAGAATGGTGGGTGGGGGCTCTGAGCCCTGTGGCTGACTTCCTCTCTGAATGGTGAGTGCCAGGGCGTCCTCCTCTGAAGGGTGCACAGCCCCCCAGCTCGCACCTTCAGCCAGGCTGATCCTGGAGCCCAGTAATTGGCTCTTACTGTAGGGAACAGCTGGCCTGGACCCCAGGTCCCAGCCATAGCACCTCCTGGCTCAGAGCTCCCCACACCCCAGGTTCAGGGTGCGCTGTTCTTTCAGTTTAGAAATACTGGGGTAAACCTGATGATGGTGCGGTATGTGAGCTGATGCAGTCTGCACACATGCAAGGTGGCTGACAACTTAGGGAGTTTTCTTGGTCCCTTCACCTAATGATCAGCTTGCTGCTCTTTGGAAAGCTGGAGCGATCGTGACCTCTTGGCTTCCTAATGTATATCTCCTAATATTTGTGTTGCCAGAGAGAGAAGCTACAAATCAGCCCCTACAGCTGGCTCCTGTCCTCTCCTGGGTATTGAGCCAAGAACAAGAAAAACAAAACAGTCCATAGGCTTGGTGACCACATGCCCAGGCTAGTAGCTAAACTCATGCTGATGACAGTGCAGATGTACTGATTCCTAGAGTTTTGGCCTAATCATTTTCTGTAAGCCTTTGGCTGCTCAGTAATGGAAATGCTGCCTGTTGGGCCTGAGCGTGGCCACGCCTTGCTCCCCTACATGTGAGGGGAGTTCCCCTGACCAGGCTGGCAGCTCAGACTTGGGCCCCAGGGAGACCTATGTGAAGCTGACGGAGAAAGCTCGTGCTTACAGCGACAGTGGCTGGCCATGTTTCTCACACATGTTACCTGGGTAGGCTCCCTTCTGCAGATGGGAGCTGTCAAGCTCCCCCATCTCAGTAGATGTCACGCCTGATACTGGCTCCCAAGGCAGGTATGTGGGCCAGCGTGTCCAGTCCCTGGGTCTGTGTCCTTGTTTACCACCTGAGATGTTACGGGGAGATGTGTTTCAGGGTAACAGGACTGCTTACACACCGGGGCCCACTTGCTGGGACAGTAGCAAGAGTGAGTGGCTGGTCATTATCCTCTGTTCAGGCAGTCATTCTGTTTCGTGATCACCAAGCACATTTCCCCGGCTCTGGAAAGTGGGAGCAGAAGACCAGGGCCCTGGTGTCAGGTCCAGGCCCACCACCTGGACCCCGGCACATCCTTGCCCAGTGCCATGCCAACTGGTTCTATGGCTGTCAAAAACCAAAGGGCTGTGGATGGGGCCACTGAGCAGGACCAGTTCTCAGACTGCATGGGCAGTGTGGTTGCTGTGGGGTCTATACAAGCTCTGTTGCCAGGCTGAGGTTTGCTTTGTTCTGACCCAGGATGGCTGGCAGGTGGAGGAGTGAGAGGAGCCGCGGTCCCTTGGCTCAGCAAAGCCATGGGCCCCGGCACACTATGGAGGGCTTTCCAGCGAACTGCAGCTCACCTGTTCACTCACCTGTGCTGGGCTTACCTGTGGCCGTCCTGCTTTCTCTGATTTCTTCCCCACGGAGCCCGCTGGCCCTGAGTTTCCCCAGATGGATGCCAAGGGTGCTAAGGGTGCCGTGGGAAGCACCTGCTTCCAGGACCTGTCTAGTAACATGTGCTGTCACACCTCTGTAGGACCTGAAGTTTCCACAAGGAGTCTGTTATTGAGAGAATTTAAGATCTAAACATGGCAAGTCTCAAGTGGCACTGAGCCGTGTCACCCATGGCAGCAGGGGCCTCTTATAATGCCAGCAGCCTGGCCTTGAGGCCAGAGCTGTCTCCCCAGGAGCCCTGCTGCCCTGTGTGCCTTCCTGCCCCCAGGATGTGCCTGGGCCAGTGGTTCTCCCAGCTCCTCCCTGCCTGATGGGCCCTGTGCGACAGGAAGCATCCTGTGGCTATGTGGGCAGTGGGAGGAGGTTGCAGGCCCAGGCCTGCACTGCCCTCCATCTGGGCCCTGGGTCACGACTGGCCCATTGCTCTGGAGAGGGAGGATGCCTGCTCCTCCCAACCCTCCAGCTTGGGGCAGCCGGCACCCAGGTGAGCATGCCCTTGGCCATGTGTGAACAGATGGCCTACTGCCAGCACATTGGGGTGGAGTTCATGTTCATCAACGACTTGGAGCAGTGCCAGTGGATCCGGCAGAAGTTCGAGACGCCTGGGATCATGCAGTTCTCCAGCGATGAGAAGCGGACCCTGCTCGCCAGGCTTGTGCGGTCCACCAGGTGTGAGCAACTTTGGGGTTGACCCAGTGGGTGGGTTTGGTGTGGTCACCGCCTCTGGCAAGTGCTGCTGGCCCTGGTTCCACGGCTCTTGGGGGTGGCATGTTTCCCATCTAGGTTTGAGGACTTCCTGCAGCGGAAGTGGTCTTCAGAGAAGCGCTTTGGCCTGGAAGGCTGCGAGGTGCTGATCCCTGCCCTCAAGACCATCATCGACAAGTCCAGCGAGCACGGCGTGGACTATGTCATCATGGGCATGCCACACAGGTGCCCCGCACCCCCCGTGCCACCATTGCACCAAGGCCTCAGCCCCCTGCCCCCCCGTGCCACCCTCACACCAAGGCCTCAGCCCCCAACCCCCTGTGCCACCATCACACCAAGGCCCTTGGTGGTTTCAGACCTTGTACTGCATCTCAGAAACACTGAACCCTAATGCCTACATGGGGCCGCAGCCAAGGGTGGGTGAGTGCAAGGGCTGTGGACTGGCACTCATGGCTGCCTGTCCATGGGGTGATGACCAGCATTGCCCACACCCTGTTCACCCCATGTGTTCCAGGGGGCGGCTGAATGTGCTTGCGAATGTCATCAGGAAGGAGCTAGAGCAGATCTTCTGTCAGTTTGACTCAAAGCTTGAGGCAGCTGATGAGGTGAGGCCCTTGGTTTCCTTTAGAAGCTTCCAGCATAGCTCCAGCCCACAAGACCCCAGGCCCCACTTGTTTCTCGGGAAGGACTTACGAAGGGTGGGATCTTCCAGGATATTCCATGCCATCCACAAAGGAGGTGGTCCGTGGCTGACCCCTCAGAGAAAAGAGAGATGGCCAGCAAGTCAGAGGCCCTGCAGCCCCCACCATATCCCCCTGGGGACGAGGATGTGCACCTCTGGCCAGGACCTCCCTGCGCCCTGAGAGAGAAACATCCTGAGAGTTTTCCCAGGAAGGGGCTTCTGGGCAGAAACAGCCCCAAGCAGGGCTGCCAGGATAGACATGATGTTTGCAATGTCAGGGCTCCGGGGACGTGAAGTACCACCTGGGCATGTATCACCGGCGGATCAACCGTGTGACTGACAGAAACATCACACTGTCATTGGTGGCAAACCCTTCCCACCTCGAGGCTGCTGACCCCGTGGTGATGGGCAAGACCAAAGCAGAGCAGTTCTACTGCGGGGACACCGAGGGCAAGAAGGTGAGCCATGGGAGCACCCAGGGTAGTTCTGAGGCCAAATGGACCCAAAGGGCCCCCAGCCCTGGGCTTGTCACAGATGTTACACTTCTGGGATTTAACAAAATATTATTCGAAAAGTAGCAATAGTTAAACAGGCCTGCATACAGGTGGTACTCTCACACATTCTCGCCGTGGTGGCCAGTCACTGTGCTGGGGAGGGGTCCTGTGCATGCGGCCCCCTGTCTCCTGTGCAGAGCCTGTCCTCAGCAACAGGTCTGGATCCCAGTCCTGCACACCTGTTCTTGCTGCTCTTCAAAAACCCCCAGGCCATCACCTGGTTCCTGGGAAATTCACAATTCAGGGAGCTGGAGTGTTACATGACCTTCAGCATTTAAGAAAAACTTCATGATTTTTTGTAAATGCAATGAGCTGGTTCTGTAATGTGGTGCAACACTGAGCTCAACCTGGCTGGGCCCAGGGCTGACTTGGTGCAGCCCTAGGGGTATCTGCGTGGGAAAGCAGCTGTCCACCCCCACCCTCCCCTGCAGTAGGAGGCCCACGCAGAGCCCTGCTTCTACCAGGGTCAGGGCAACTGCTGGGGCACCGTCAGACATAGTGGGCAGGGACAGCCACAAGGCCTGGGATGGGCTCTGGGTACTACCAGAAGGGAGACCAGCCCTGAGATGCTGGCACAGCACCCGAGATGTCACAGGAGACCCTGCAGGGAGAAGTGACATGCCCATCTGGGACCCGGCGGTCCCACTCCTGACAAGGCCTTCTCAAACTGGCACTGAAGACAGGGCATGGGGCTTGGTTTTAAAAATCCAGAATTTGTTCCTGGAAGTCCATTGTGGACCTTCCCTTCCTGGTGCTGAGGACCATGGAGGGGACATGGATGGGACAGAGAAATAGCTTGCACAAATGCTATCACTGTGCTCATTGCCAAGAAGACATGGTGAGTGTAGAGGAAGATCACAGCCTACCGCCCAGGCTTGAGGCCAGCAGCTCGGGTATCTCCGTGGGGCATGCACCATTCCTGAGTCTGGTCAGGCAGAGCATCTGAAGCCAAGGACACACACCTGAATGAGGGGATGAGAAGCAGCTCCTGGTGGGAGAGTGTCATGCAGCACAGCCCATGTGGGCCTGGGCACATTGGAGCAGTAGCAGCCCTGGATGGGGTGGGCCTGCACTGCTGTCCTGTGTCCAGGGTAGGCAGCAGGGTGGCCGGTGTGCAGATGTGTAGTGGGCTGCCGGACTGCCTGCAAGTTGGGAGGTGCTAGGGATCTCAATGTTCTCTTGGCACTTCCTGAGTTTGATATTATCTCAAAACACATTATTTTTTGGAAAGCAGGTCATGACTTACTATCCAGGGTGCCTGGTGAATATGTGTTGCATTTGGGGTCTCCTTTGCATGTCTGCAGGTCATGTCCATCCTCCTGCATGGGGATGCTGCATTCGCCGGCCAGGGCATTGTGTATGAGACATTCCACCTGAGCGACCTGCCATCCTACACGACTCATGGCACTGTCCATGTGGTCGTCAACAACCAGGTAACCTGCTCCAGGAGGTCTTCATACCAGAGAAGGCCGCCGAGGCAGTGTCATCAGGTTTCTGACCAGATTGTCTCCTGAGGGTCCCATGCTCATGGCAGTCTTACTTATAATGACATCCCTTAATTTTGTAGAACATTCATTGTTTTCTGATTAAGATACATCAATTACAAAAAATTTGGACAACATGAAAGACTGTCTTTTATTAAATGGAGAGATGTTAATTACACTATTTTAAAAATAGTGATGTTATTGTACAGTATTTTCCTTAGACACACAAGCATATAGATGGCTCTTCAGAAACTGGAGTTCTGTATACACAGTTACCACATTGTTTACTCATGACATTATATACTCTTAAAATACTAATTTTAATGGAAATAACCATTATAGGTTGTTTCACAAAATATACATTGCCATGTGGTTATCTTAGACTTTTAGGATTCTCATTTTTCACTGTTTTAAATAATGATGTGATAAACATTCTTGTAAGTAAATATTTCTGCCCAACTCTAATATGTATCACTGTTGTATGTGATTTCCTCCAGCAGCCATCTCACCAACACATGTGCATGTTTGTTTAACAAAATACTGGCCTTTAAGGACAGCCCTGTGCTAGGGACCACTGTGGAGCTCTCATTGCGTGTGGATGCTGTGTGACTGGTAAGGATGAATGTTGCTCCATGCAGACAGGTCAGAGGGACCGAGAAACAGCTGCAGCTGTCCCAGCAGGAGTAGAGAGGAAGGAGGGGGATTTAAACATGGACTAAATGGGGAGGTTATCCATGCCAGAGCCCAGAAGGTCAGGCACAGAAGCAGGCGAGAAATCCACCCAGTGTGAGTACCCCAAACAATATGATGACCACAGTCACTTGTAAGTGCCCACTGAGCAGGTGCTTCCCAGACATTAACTGAGCCTATGCTGTATGGCCACAAGGGATTCTGTCCCCATTTCACAGAAGAGAACATTGACTCAGGCAAGGGAGCTTGCTGCAGTATCAGTATGTGACCTGTGTTCTGTCAAAGGATGGCATAGGGAGGAGTGTTGGAAACATGCAAGGGAAAGGAGAGGCCTAAAAACAAGCACACCCCCTCCCTGCACTGTGCTCTGTGCACATGACCAAGGGCAGGGCGGGCTCCTCGCATGTGGGTTGGCCAGGTGCTGCCAGAGGAAGGCTGCTCAGAGGGCTGGGAGCCAAGACACAGGTGTAGTTTCTTTAAAAAAAGCACAGTTATCCATGAGTATTCAGAGTCAGATGAATTCCATCCCAGATTTAAAAAGATTACTTGCTCTGATGGCAGAACCCACTTCACAATTTCTTATGAATCCCAGAAAAAGGAGAGGTGCCAAAGCCTTTTAAAATTTCATTGTAAGGAATAAAAAGGATAGGTTCTAGTCTCTGAAAAAAGATATGCGTAGAATCTCCACCTAGATGAGTGATGTGTCACTGTCATGAAGGGCCACCCAGGCCCTTGGTCATGGCCTTCAGTCCTGCCCACAGTCAGGAAAACGGGCACTCAGCAGGCTGTGTGTCACGCAGGGCTCCACACGGCCCCGCCATGGTCAGCACACTTACCAGTAACAGGCGGGAGCAGAGAAGGTGGCACATGTAGCTGGCCCAGAGTTCAGGAGAAGAACTTGTCCAGCAGAATCAGGTTGCAGCATTCAAGTTCAGGTGTTGAGGCACAAGTGACAGGGTTAAGTCTGGAGACAAGGATTAAACATGCATTGTTTTTATTAGTTTGTTTATTGTTGTAGTTTGCACTCGGTAGAAGTCACCCGTGGTGGTATGTAGTTCTCCAAGTTTTGACAGATGTGTATAATCATGTACCTCTCAAGACAGAAGAGTTCTATCATTCCTTTCCCAGCGCCCCCACCCCCACCCCGAAGACACTGGGATTTTGCATTTTTCAGAAGTCTGACAAACAGAGCCCTGCAGTCTTGGCCCCTGAAGGCTGCCCCGGCCAGCACAGCCCTCATGTCCTGTGCCACAGTTTGCTTATCTGTTCACTGTGGGAGGGGTGGAATTGTTCCCAGCTTTGAACTTTGATGATGGAAGTCACTATGAAATGAACACTCACATGCAGACTGTGGTGAGCCTCAGTTCTCCTTACTCTGTAAATACCTGGAAGTGGAATTATGTGTCATGTATATGTTACACTTCATAAGAGCCTGCCAAGCTGCTTTCCGAAACATCTGTACTGTGTTATGGTGAGTGAGTTTCTGTTGCCCCCGTCCTTGCTAGCTCACGGTGTTCACACTTCATTCATCAGCTATTCTAATGAGCTGAAGTTCTTGCCTCCTGCTCGGACCCCAGAGGCTGGCGGTGGCAAGCAGCTTTCCCTGTGTGAACCATCTCTGCTGAGCATTTGTGCCGTTTTGCCTGTTTGGGGGATTAGGAGGGTTGTTTGTTTAATTAAAATTTGAGAGTCCTTTACAGATTCTGGATACAAGTCCCTTATCAGAGATGTTTTGCGAAGATTTTTCTTCACCTATGTGGCTTATCTTCATTCTACCAGATCTTTCACATAGCAAAAGTTTTTCATTTTGATGAAGTCCAGTTCATGCATTTTTTCTTTTATGGATTATGTGTTTGTTGTCAGATCTAGGAAAACTTTGCTTTACTAAAGATTTCCCCCATCTTCTAGTATTTTTATAGTTTTGACTTTATATTGAAGTCTATGCTGTTGGAGTTCAGAGTTCTTTTTCTTGCCTGTAGATACCCCGTTGTTGCAGTGGTTTGTTGACAGGATTATCCTTTGTTGAAATGAGTTGACTACGGTGTGTGGTCTGTGCTGGTTCTCTGTGCTGTCCACTGATCTGTCTGGCCTTTTGCCAGTACCTCATTCTCTTTATTTCAGTCTTAAAATCAGGTTGTATGAGTCCTCCACTTGGTTATTTTCAAAATTGTTTTGGCTGTTCTAGGTCCTTTGTTTTTTCTTAAAAATTTTGGAATCAGCTTGTCAATTTCCAGAAAAAGCTATGATGGCAGTTTGACTGGGCACCAAGTTAGTAATAAGTAGATGATGTCGAGCCCTTTGACCTGAGAACACAGTACATCTCTCCTTTGTTGGGGTCTTACTTCATTTCTCTCATAGGTGTTTTGTAGTTTTCAGCATACAGATTCTTACATGTTGTATTAGGTTCATGCCTTAACTATTTCATTATTTTGAAGCTATTGTACGTGGTAATTTTTCAAATTTAAAATTTTGAACTATTACCAGAGTATAGAAATATAATTTTGTTTTGCATTCTTTGTTTTGCATTCTTTACAAACTCACTTTTCAGTAGTTTTTTGAGGATTCTTCTGGAACTTTTTGTTGACACTCACCTGGTTGACTTGTGTGTGATGTAAGACAGTGTCCAGGCTCACTCCTCTGCATGTGGCTGTCCAGTTTTCTCACCACCCATCACTGAAGACACTCTCTTTTCCCCACTGTGTATCCCTGGCGCCTTTATGGTAGATTAATTGGCCAGGCATGGGTGGATTTCTGAGTTCCTGCTCCGGTGGCCTGTGGGTCTACTCCTGTACCAGTGCTGCCCTGTTTGGGTTACCATGACTTTGTGATAGAGTTTGAAATCAGAAAGTGTGGTGCCTCCAGCTTCATTCTTCTTTCTCAAGATTGCTTTGGCTCTTTGTGGTCTTTGGTGGTTCCACATGAATCTTAAGACTGTCCCATTTCTGTGGAAAATGCCCTTGGTATGTTGATTAGGGATGGGATTGACTCTGTAGATTGAGTTGGGTAGAGTGGACATTTTAACAGGAGCCTGTTACACTGCAGGCCTGCTCTGGACTTTTCACCTGGATGGGAAGCACTTGTTCCTACCTGTGGGAGGTGGAGCCCAGCTTCCCCACCATGTCTGTCAGTACCCCAGGGAGGGGAGAGCAGGTGCGGTGGGCCAGCGGGCTTTGTTGCTGTCTCCCCTGGGCCCGCTGACACCACAGTCTGGGCGCCCACCGGGGCAGGTATGGCAGGCCACAGGGTTTTCTGTGTGGTTGGCTTGCAGCAGGGCGGTTACCCACAGAGAGTGTCATGTCTGTCGAGGCAGCCTGGTCCTGGTCCTCTTGATGCCGGGGTTCTTGTTCACGAAGCCGAAGATGAGCTCCACAAACACTCAAGGTAGGAGAGGCTTTTATTTAGAAATAAAGTGAGAGACTAGAGCTCCCGGCTCACGCCAGGAGGGGACAAGAGAGCCTGTAGTGGTGCATTGTCTAGGGGATTTTATAGGCAGCTGAGGATTTTTCGAGAACATGAAAAAAACTTAGGGGTGTGGACTTGTTAAGTGGTCCCTGAATATTAAAAGTTAACTTAACGTAAGGAATTTCCTGCCTTGATTTCTCTCTGGGACACCAGCGCCTTGGTCTGGGAGGATATCAAAAGGCTGCCTGCCCAGCCCCCAAGGTGGGCTGAGGTATTGTGTATTTGCTAAAGAATCCTGCCTCTTGAACTTCTTGGGTGTTAAAAAGCAATCTTATCTTTAAGATGGAATTCTTCCTGCCTTTTACCATGCCGTCTACAGCTGGGTCTGCATTCTAAGTTAGTTGGTCAGTTTGCAAAATCACCTTGTCAGATCTGAAGGAGGAAAGACAGCACATAGACCTGGGCCTTTTAGCATGCTAAAGTGAATCTTACACATGGTTACAAATGATTAACATAATGAAACATGTGCTACTCTTCTTTATCTGGGGAACATTAACCGATCTCACTGAAGAATGATTCTACAGCTTAATGTTTAACATAGAGTTTTAGTAGGGGGTTTCCTTGCATGTAGTTACATTGCTCTGACTGCACATATCCTGCCCTGCCCCCTCCGGAGGCCTTCACTCTACTCTGACTACATCCATGGTCCCTGTCTCACTCTGGCTTTCCTCTGAACTGCCTTTTGTCTGGCTGCTGGCCTTTTGAGCAGCCTGCTTCTCTCGCTCCCAGCGTGGGAGGTAAGAGGCGGAAAGAGAGCCCTGGGGACTGTCACTGAGCTGCACGTGGGGACCGGGGCC